TCAGAAAATGTGGTGTCAATTTTGCTGAGATTTAGTTAAACGCAGCGTAAAGCGCAGGAAACATTTTGTAATATCGCACGGATTCAAACCCGGTTTGTCATCTCTGACATCCAGGGCTCTACTAGAGGGCCAACCCGCACTTCATTTTAATAGGTTAAAGAACTTTTTAGCATGAAAAAATTCTGACTTTTTTTGGTTAAAAAGTTTTTTAACATGTTGGTCATAATGAAGTTGATATGTCGTTCACTTAGATTCGTCAACATAGTCAACTAGAAATCTTCAAAATTTTGTAGTTCATTAAATGTTATCAGTTAAAGCATTGAATTTCCAAAGCATCACGCACTAATCAAGGTAATACAAGGTTGGTTTAACTATTTTAAATTGTACACACACAAATGTTATATACACTTTAGTAACCCACTTCGTTAAGATTTCACACATGAAGAAACATAAAAATTGCTTTAAAAAATGACATTTTGATATCATAAGAATTACAACCCGAATCTGTCCTTGCACATCAATAACAGATTCTACACGTGTTATTAATGCTGTTGTACCAAAAACAGATTAAGACTGAAGTGTAGCTCTTATGATACCAGTTTATAAACAGGTAATTAAAACGTACTTTACTTAAGAAGCATTACGAAAAACACCTTCAGACGAAGGCAGGGCACTTTACATATTTACATTATCACCTCTAGAAGACAACTTTTGTTGTTTTATCTCTTCGTTCTCGCTCATTCCTTCGTTATACCTAACTTCATTGCACTTATGTAATCCCTAATTTACAGTGGACGTTAGCTTGGTAAAAATGTTTTTATTTTTCGCTTGAAAGTACTCTTTAGAATAACTGTAACCACCTATAAAGTATTGCATTTCTTACATAGTACTATATCAGCGAGATGGTTTAGGTTTCTAAATCACCCTGATATTAACCAACATAAATACGAAAACATTGAACAAGTGGCTTATCTGAGAGTATTTTAAGTGTATGTGTGTGTTTTTGGTATAGCAAAGCCTCATCGGGCTATCAGCTGTGTCCACGGAGGGGAATCGAGCACCTGATTTTAGCGTTGTAAGTCCGAAGAATTATCGGGGACATCATTTTAAGGTCATGATATCTAATTTAACGTAGTCCTTGATCAGGATTTGAAAAATTAACATACATATATTTCGACAATCATAGCCTATAATATTTCCGTAAATTTGATGGAAATTTGCGTTGCTATAAAATGCTGGAAAAGGAAAGTTCCAATAGAATCATGTTATAATAATCGCTCTTCAACGTTCCTTCTCGCACGTCATAAGATTACACGAAGTTTGCTTTTGATTGAAGTTAACTGTTATCTTACCCATTTTGGCAAAATGATCTGGTTTAGCTCAATAATTTCATTGACGTTATAAACTAGCATGTAAAAATTATTTATTTTGCGTCTTTTTTATAGCATTTCATGAATATGTATTATGAAATGTTTCTAAAAAAGTGTTTCTTTCATCATTGGTAAAGTTTATAATTTTACCGTCACTTGCTTCACTGTGATTATGTTTTTTTTTATGAATAAGTTTAATAATATCGTATTGACCAGTAGTATTGCTAGCGTACAAAAATATAGCTAATAAAAAGGATGAAATGGTCTCATAGATTAATTTACTCTAATCCTGCCTAAAAGAAATTCAAGTACCATGGCTATTGAGGAATCCCTCTTGTTTGTATTCAGCGTTTAATTATGAAAATAGCATTTTACGTAATATGCAGTTTGCAACAATCATACTGGTCTTGATATTGTTATGAAACTAATATATTGGTGAGTATTATAAGATAACCCCATTAAGGAGCGGTTCCTATATTGTTACACCATACAATAACATCGTATAAAATTTAATATAGAGATGACAGAGATAAACCCAATAAGGAACAGTTCTTATATGACTATTGGCAGTATTATTCACTATTCTCTTACACAATCTCCCAGTGGCTCAGCGATAAATATACAGGTTTACGATACTGAAAATCATGTTTCGATACTCGTGGTGGGCAGAGCACAGATAGCCCATTGTGAAGTTTTGCGCTTAACAACAACAAACCAAAATAAACTAATCTTACACCTGAAAGACATTTTCTGTGTGCTTTTTATTTAAGCTACGGCATAGCGGCTCATAGAATGGCTCCGAGTTTGATTTTTTAAGTACAAACCTTTAGCTTATAGCTCTGTCATCTCTTAACCGATTTGAGATCTAATTACAGTTTTGGACTTAGGAAGTCAAACCCTTTTGATTGATGCATTTGACCACGCCCAAGGTCTCATGGACTAATTTACTCTAATCCTGCCTAAAAGAATTTCAATTTGAGGGTAGACTGGTAGAAATCCTGATGAGTAATAAAATCGAATAGGGTATATGCTCGCCCCACATTTTGTATAGCGTAGTAATATAGGAACTGCTCTTTAATGGGGTTATCATATAATACTCACCAGTATATCAGTTTTATAACAATATCAATGTATAACGTAGTAATATAGGAACTGCTCATTATTGGATTTATCTCAGTCATCATTATATTAGATCTTATGACGTTGCAATGAATATCTAAGAACTTAAGAGTGAAACCACGGAAATATGTATACCAGTTTGTCATTCACACTATATCTGCATTACCCATTGCTGATTAGGCCTTTCGTTCAATGCCAGGACGCGTCAAGCAGGCTGGGATACCACAAACACGCTAGTAGTTGAGATGTGCAAATTGCACAGTCACAAAAAATTACCTTTCAGACGTGATGTAAGTAATTTTTCTGCATTTCTACGTTAGATGAAATTCATGAGATTGCCACGAAGACTAACAACGTTTTACATCAATGTATTTTGTTGTTACGCGCAGGAACTAAACAATAGACTATCAGTGCCCACCGCTGGTATCGAAACCTGATTTTTAACGTTATTAAACCCACAAATTTATCACTGAGCCACCGGGGTCATTACGTCAGTAATTATATTAATTATTACTGATTAATAACTATAATAATTTATGCACTGTAAAATACTTATCTTATTTAATTCCTTCTGCTCTGCATTACAAATAGACGCATCCAAACAGATCGGTCCTCCGGTGGATCAGCAGTATATTTGTAAACACACAGTGCTAAAATCTGGGTTTATTTTCCTGAAGAAGAATAGTCAACTATTCGAAAGCGCTCGAGTTTTGGATCTCGTTTCAAAACATTACAATTTTTGTAGGTGATCCTGTGTGCTAACTTCTTAACCAGAATCTGGAGTTAGATTCCTTGCTATGGACAGAGCGCACGTAGCTCTGTGTGTAGCTTTGCGCTAAAAAACACAGAGATAAAATTTGCTTTCCAATTATTTAGTATCTCATATATTCAATGTTACTGGCAGTTTATTATTCAATAATTGCCATAGAAATTTAAATTTGCCTATACTGAACAAGTTGAATGAAAGCCTTGAACTCTGTGGAATATTTGGTAGTAAGAGTAAGAAAGTTTTAAACTTTCTGTATTATTGATTGGCAATTATTTTATCTTGATTAATTGATTGGTTGCTACATTCTAAAAATATATCGCTGTTCTAATTTAATTCACTAAACTCTAATATCTAAGCTTACTAAGATATTGAGAACGATGCTTTTGGCCGTGTAGAACATGGTCTTGATGTTCATACTTGGTCAAAAGGTGAGATTTGTCGTTTTGAAAGATAATGCATATACATAACATTGGTGGCATCTGCGCATTATCAAATACTCGTGTAGGATATAACTACACAATGAAATAACAACATCCATTAAATGACCTGTCGTAGTATCTTTACTATTTGATAACGTGTGTTTTTTTGTTTTGTTTTTTATAGGGCGTCTTTACTTACGTGCAAAAATAATGTTTTCAGTGTCACGTTTTTTTCTGGGAAAAGCGAATATTTTCGCAACACTGATAGCATTTATATATCCCGAAATTCTGGTATTACATTAGTTACATCGTAATCTCACATGTTTTAGAAACACAAGCTATTTTCGATTGACTATATACTTTCATAAAGAAAGTCAGTGAACTAAGCAGTTGTTTCTAAACTTCCCAATAGCTGGTCAAGTGGTCTTTAGCAAGGAACTTAGATCAAACATAAAAATAAACCCGGAAATGAATCTAGCTAATTAAATATACTTTTCTTACGTTCCGACTTATAAAGGTTAGAATGTATTGTTTCATCAGTTAGGTATCCTCGCTGTTAACGATATTTTCGACAGTAAACCCAATAATGTCTTACCAGGTTTGGCCAATTTAAGAGATTTAGGTTAGTCCTGAATTCATATACTAAGCTATGTGAGCAAAAAATTTTCTCCAATAAAAGTATAGCAATAAAAATCAAAAATAATAAATCAAGATATATTAAACATTCTATACTATGTCTGCAGACTTACAACGCTAGAAATCGGGTTTCGATAGCCGTGGTGGGCAGAGCACCGATAGCCCATTGTGTAGCTTTGTGCTTAACTACAAACAAACATTCTATGCCGTTTTTCAAAGTAACATTAAAGAACGAACAGTTACCTTACAAACGGAACACTCAAACACTAGATGTCAGTTAGAATTAGGGCACTGTCGTAGACTTAATATTCCTGGAACAACGTAACATCAGTATAAGCGTGTACAAGCAAACCTTTGCGCAATCCTCCATAACAACATTTTTCTTTCCATTAAAGTTAAGTGGAGCATACGACGCATTGTTTTGAGTCACAAATCCTCACACAAACAGATACTAAGAAAAAAAAACAGCTTCTTTCAACTATTCGAGCCAACTCAACACTGTGACGTGCGTAGCCGTTGAATGGATCAGTGAAAAAAGTCATCGGTTATAAATTAACGAGTAATATATTTAATTAACAATATAAGAAAACGAAATTCTGGTGTTTTTTTTATCGATATCAATATCATAGATAAAAACTGAATGCTTATTTTCGAAGTTCTAGGCTGAAAAACAAAGATTAAATAATAATAAAAAAAAAACAGTTCCCAAACAAGATAATAAAAAACTAAGCTATGGAAAAAATTAGCTTTCATAGAAGTCTGTACCTTCTTCAAGAGGTAATGATTAAAAGTGAATTTCGTTTTCTCAAAATAAATTATCTATCAGCCTGTTTACAAGAAAACGAACTAGTATAAGTTCATACTACTATACTGTAAAATACACTGGACGAGGGTGTTTTATGACTGGTTTTCTTCCAATTTTATGTACAATATTCAAAATCCCGATTATTCCTTAATAGTTTAATGCAGTGTATTATACATTTATATTACTATGTTGGTAGGTTATGATGCAAACCTACCATTGCATGACTTGGAGTTTGAACGCTGTCCATTTTTTTTTAAACTCCTTATTTTGACTTCTTTTAATATATGTTTTACATCAATTTATAATTGCTTAAACCAAATTACCTAATGAAACAATATTTTATTGTCATATTTAGCTTGCGATGTGAAAATTGGGACAGAAAATGAAAAATTAAACGTTTTAACTACAACCCAAGCATAACATTTACAATTATTTTGCAATATACGGTTAACGCTATTTTTTTTTTTTTAACGAAAAACAGCACTAAAAGAGGTGCAGTATTTAATGACTTTAAATTTTTTGTTGGTTTTAGGATATTTGCGCAAAGCTACTCAAGTGCTACCTGCGCTATCCGTCCCTAATGTTTAACCAATACTAGATGGAAGCTACTTCAAAGAAATAGTAAATTTGTCCTCACTTTTACAACGCACCCAAGTCCGCAAACATTTCGCTCCGCACATTGGATACGTGAGTGCATTGTAAAAGTGAGGACAAACTTGGGTGCGTTGTAAAAGTGAGGACAACAACGGGAGGCGGACCAGGGGCCCTCGCTTTCACAGTCTGACACTCTAACAGCTTGATCTCGCCAGGCGCAAAATGTAAAGATAAATATTTGTGTATATGCTTCACTTAATGACTTAATATGTAAGAAAAACATATTCATATACTACGAACGTTTAATTAAAGTAAAAAGTAATTAACGCAGGTCGTGTATATACATATAATTGTATGTTGATATATATTTCCTATTGAACAAAACAAATGTGTTATTGAAATTTTAAAGGAAAATGCCAAATAGCCTTGGAAGTGTTTTTCATGATCAGTGACGAGTAAAGAGACGGCGTGGTTGGTGCTTTCAAGCGTAAGAATTTTGCTTGTTTACGTCATGAGTTCATATGCTACGTTTGTTCCCAGTCTACCACTTGTTATTCAGTCAAGATGCTTTTATATGCTTCTATCTAGACAGTTGTTTACTGCAGAGTTAAACCTAAAATAATAACGAAATTATTATACACGACAATTCACGTTTACGATGAACTCACGGGTTCCCGGATGTCACTCACCAAGCTCGGGTTTGCTTATCGATTCTACATCCATGTTACACAGCAAGTATTACAATATAAAAACTGTTGAATGCAGATTTAAACGAACACGTGTTTATCATATGGAATAATTGACACTCACGTTTAGTTTATAAATGTATACATTTAACGAAACGTATTCGAAAGTGCGAAGAGTTTTCGTGAATTAAGGGACGACAGAAAATAGCGAATCGGCTTGAGAGCGAAAGTATTTTGCTTATTTAATACTTTAATATATAAAATAAACACATTTAAGGTACCGTCACGTGTAATACAAATAGTTAAAACGTAGGTTATTCGATAGTATGATAATTATAATTATATAATCTATCACTTCCGCAGATTGATTGGTTCGTGCCAATAAATAAACAGTTACATGTTATAGGGTAGGGTGCCAGGTAACTCATTCGTTTATTTGTAGTTAAGCACAAAGCTACACAATGGACTATCTATGTTATGTCCACCACAGGTATCGAAATCTGGTTTCTAGCGCTTTAAGTCCAAAGTCTTATCGCTGTGTTACTGAGAGGCGGCCAGGTAACTATAGGGTGATCGGAGTGTTGTAAAATGTTGATACATATGAATGTACTCTATATTATCTGTAGAATCTCCCTGCAGAAAGTGTGCACATGTATGAAATTAAGCCCTAACATGACTTATGCCAAATCGCGCATTATCCAACATCAACATTGGCTAAAGTGAATACAATATTTCGCTTCTTTTTTGTTTTTATCAACAAAATTGTAAGTAAATCTTATAAATGTATAATATATGTTAGTATAAACATACACAGTTAATTATTCATGAATTTAAATAGTTAAACAGGTGTTTATTAAAATAGTATATATATATTAATTTAGAGGACAGTTTAACACAAAATGCAATATTATATAGGACTAACTATCATTCAAGGCTGAACTTAGCTTATATATTCTGATTAATTTGCCAATAATTCATTAATATTGTTACGTCTCCGTTTGTTAATTAACTTCCCGTAACTTCGTTCCGACGAAACTTTAGCGACACA